CTACTGTACAGTTTCACACGCCTCACGTGCCTGCGACGCGCCTGCACACACAGAGCAAGCTCCCTTCTCTCTTTTCCCCCACTTGCTTATTCTCTGTGTGCTGCAGGTATGTACTTAGTTCCTTTTGCTATCTTACTTGCTTATTCTCTGTGTGCTGCAGAGTGTTGCGCTTCATTCTTAGGCTGCGCATTCAACATAACCATGTTGTATCCCACGTCTTCCTTGCAATCTACCACTAGTAAGCAGTGGGAGACCGCTGGCTGGTGTGCGTGCTCCCCTGGCTTGCATCTCCTGGCCGATGTTGCAGCTACGAAGGCCATTGAGCTCAACAAGACAAAACTGGTCTAAAAGGATGAGGTGGTGGTGGTGGATGAGCCACGGGCTATGTGGCTGGGAGAAGAATTCCTGGCAGTTAGCATAGTATGCACTCTTACCTGTCATTTATGCGCGGTACAATATATCTGACTTCCTATGGAGATGCATCAATAAACGGAAATTGGCTGTCCCTATGGCCCTTGTGCAGAGCCTATCAATTAATCATGGCGCTATTGTCATGCTTTGCAATGATGTACTTGTAGATGCCCTCCGTATTCCCTATGGAGTGTATGTGGGAGTGAGAATTGATGATGTTGGTGTGTATCTATGCAAAATATCCCTCATGCTTCCCCTGGTACCAATGTCAAAGATGCACGTAGGAGGCTAGAAAATTATCCACCATCTTGTGGTCAACCACTACTTCTCTGCTGTCACTAGTCTAGAACAACTATCTATGTCATTGATATGAAGGAAGTACAGATACTATGCTGGAAGTAGTGGCTACTTTAACGTCATTAATGGCACAACTATTGAGGTCACTCTTCAATAGTGACGGGAAGAAGACTCGGCACACACTCATTGGGCTGGGGTTATGCACAGTCAAGGGGGTGCATGCTTTAAGTTCATTCGACACCACTACTCTGAATACCCACTGACTGAGATAACGGGTAATGTGACAGATTTTAGCGTATATACATTCATCCAGTAAGGTTATTAAGTGTCTTACAGGCACTTGCTAGTACTCAGAACTATCAAGACAGTGTCCTCTCTATACTAGCACTAAGACTATATGGCAGTATGAAGCTCAGCGAGAACTCAATGGTGCAGTATACAACAGATTTGTGGGGAGAGGGAGGAATTGACTTTGACCATCCTTTGGAAACAAGCCTTACATTTTTTGACCAACTATCGTACATCTTATTGACCTGGTTAATATATACTTTCTAATGTCTTGATAGTGTGATCTGCGTGTTCCAACTTTGGTCCCGTCTGTGGCACTGTACAAAAACATTATCGTCAGTGCTATATGGCAGTGCAAACGCACCAGCTTGTCACAACAGAGAGCACAATAGTAAAACATCTGAGAGAGACCAAGAATAATGAGGAATAACTTCAGGAGCAGAAGAATAGTCCAGGCTGCCTGATAACCAACGAGGAGCCCATTGGTTTTGCAACAACACATGCCCCTGCCATATCTGCTGAGTCGCGGAACTTGACGCCAGATACAGAGCCAAGCATATCCATTCTTGCGCTAGCTGTGAAGACTATCAGTGAGATCCACGGGGACAGAAGGTCAAAGGTGGCTACATCAATCCACCCCGACTCCTGCCCCACATACATGATGCATGCTTGCTTTCACTGCACACCAGTGCCCTCTCTCCAGTCAAGATGAGCACACCTGTGACAGCTCCCCAAAAACTAATGCCTTCTGACAATGATGACATCACAGAGTTGGAAGAAGACATATGCACTTAGAATCGGACTAAATTAGTTGATTAATATATCAATGTCAGTACCTAAAGACATGATATTGAAAATGACATACTGCAAGACACAAGGCAAAGACAAGCCATAATGCACATCTATGACATCAAGGAACAGGCCCTGTGCAACAAACTTGTCAGGATAAGGCATAACTCGCAACAATCTCTACATATGGCATTATTGGATGGTGTCGTACAAACTTCATGTAACTTTGGAGTTGGCAACTTTGTAGCCATACTATGAGCTCTAGCCAGAGTTAGTACTAGCTGTGAATATATTTCAATTTTGGAATTATCCGGATTCGTACCGGAAAGGTATAGCTGAAACAAGAATTGGCAGCCTGATTGAGCACGATTGAAACAGAATCTGGTATCTACAAGATTCGAACCCGGGTGACGGGAGCCTCGGCATTGCGCGCTAGCCGTTTAGCCACTGAAAGCTCGTATAAAGCCCGACTGTATGCTATGGATAGCCCACTATTTGAAATACGCGGTGATCAAGCAAAGCGCCGGTGAGCAGACAACAGGAACAGTAAGAAGAATGTCTTGATGGAAGCCCAGCCCTGCTAACCACCGCACAGCGGAAGCAGATGACTGTCCACCCAGCAAGACATGGGTGAAACGGTCATCCGCTTCAACATGCTACCGGTAGCGTTATTCGAATCATTCGTGCTAGGGGTCCCGCAGCATGTCCAACAAAGAGAAGAGTAATTTTGTCGCTACTGCAAAAACACTAACTAGACTATGCCCACTCTCCTTCTAGACATACCCGTTTACGGTATAGGGGAACCCACGAAGGTCGGACGCCATAGGGTGCAAACGTAAAGGTGCAAGCAGTCTCCATAACTAACCATGAGACATGTGATTCATGAAAGAGTTTGCAAGCCTAGGTAGCTATTCCTGGTGAAGGCCGGAAGCGAAATAGAAGCGGATGTTCCCATTCAAGAAGTTTTGATTCAGAAGAAGCAAAGAATGAAAGTCTAATAAGCGCAGAGGCTTGCTGACATGGCATTGAGTAACCAATGATGATGCCCTAAAGAAGTGTCCGGGTGCAATGCCACGATGCGCCCTGTTAATAGGTGCATACCATGGTTGCAAGATGGCCCCTTTACCCTGCCAACCATGAGCGACTCCTCTACCAGTGGCGAGCACTTGCTTTGCTCGACGCTCTACTTGCCGTCCCGGACGCCATCCGTTCATTCTTACAACTCGCTCAGCTCAGCACCCTCTCCGGTACCGGCCCGGGTCGTTCATCTCAGTCCTAGCGTCTCAAGGGCCATGAGCATAGCTACTGTCAACACTGAAACGCCCGTGCCCACTGAACAGGTGTCACCTCTGGCCCCAGCTCTGCGCCACCCGCTTCCACCAAAGCCCACACGTATTCCTACTCCGTCTCCAGCAGTGTTGTCGGTACCGCTAGGGCTGAACTTCCCGTGCTCTATTCCTTACAACACGGCTGCCATGGAGCGTTTCTTATCCATCTATCATGACAACTACAGCCACCGCCAGAGCGTCACCTGGATGCTCACGGACATCGGCAAGGTCCCCATCGATCACAGCATTACAGTTGCCCATCGCATCTGCCCTGGCCTGGAGTGTTATGCGGAGGTGGGATCCTTCGTAGCCCGTGGGAACACGGAGGCGCTGTTCAGGATGAAGCTGGTTGGATGGCAGATGCCGGAGAGCTGGCATGAGTTTGCAGGAGGCCTAACGCTACCAGTCTACCTTCTGGCACCGCTCTCCCACTGCACTAAGTCGTTCTCCGATAAAGAGTGGGAGTACTTTGCTTATCCATACGCGCTCGTCCAGCACACCCAGGAGACAGCCCAGCGCGTCCGCACCTTTGTCGGTGGTAATCACAGCATTCTCCTTCCACACCACGACTTTGTCACGGTGTCATTTCTCTCCGCATTCAAGTGTTTCCCTCTTCTGAAGCTCTTTAGTCCTGGTGTCGCAGTAGGACTTACGGTTGCTATACAAGATCTTCATACACCGATCAACGACAGCATGGTTGTACCTCCCGTATGCTTTCCATCAGCAAGTGCCCTGGTAAGTGCCAGTCATTCAGTACGCCCGGCAATAACTTACAGTCCCATGAATAGACGTACCAGTATTACCAGCCCGCGCCTGCGCCTGCCTACCAGGCCTGATTCAACGTATGAGCGGCCTGCTATTCCACGCCTCATGCACATTCTCTCCCGCCGCAGTGCTGTGCAGAATCTCAACGACCAGTGGAGGGCATCACTCAGTGCCGTAAGGCAGGAGGAGTAGGCCGAAGGGCCGTCTAAGGTTTTACATGATATGCTTAGCTGACTTATTGATATCTACGCCCATCTGTTCGCATTGTGACCCACTTGTACTCCCATTTGCCTTCGCTCGTTGTATCCCGTTCATCATCCGCTTTGATAATCCTGTCACCCATATACTTCATCTTACCTATACTCAATATCTTCGCTCGTTGTGTCCTGGTCGGTTAGTGTGTGCCCAAATAAATCCCTACCATGCTTACTACACAAAATATATCCAATCACTGCATTCCAAACAAACACGGGAAAAGAAGTCACCAGGGGCAGGCCTAGAATGGCCATCAAGAACTATCAAGAATAATAGAAGCGTGATTGAAGAAGCTCAATTTGTAGAGAAAAGGTATAAGGTCTGGTGATTCAATGCAGAGCGCGCGCTATACATTTCCCCACTCATCGCTACCATGAGAGTCGAGTATATCTCGTACAAAAACTACTTCAGCCTGCACATCTGTGACCGGTACCCTGGGCGGGAGCTCTTCATCAAATTTGACATCGACACGCTACCGCTACGCCTGCTTCCTCCTCTACGCTTTGCAGCCAACACCAATCGCAGGCTGTACCCAGGACATCTGCTTATTGCGGGGCAGTATCAGATGCTTAAGTTGCCTGCATCCTCTGTTATTCAATACAACTCGGGCGACGAGCCACCCATTCTGTGTGTACCCGACGATGGGAACGTCTGGGTCAATTATGACCTACTCCATCCAATCAACGCTTATCCCCACTACGAGCGGGCTTGCAAAACACACGAGCCATCTGACTGGCTCACTCTCTGTCAGTACATCAACCGCGACAAGACAGCTCCCATGAACTATCCGGTCCTATGGACTCCCATGCTGTCAGCCTGTGACATTCGCCTGGGCGCGGTCACTGAACTCATTCATTTTGCCTCAGGCTATCGCTTCTATGCGGTGCTTACAGAACTGTTGTCGTCGGATCCCCGCACGACTCTGTTGCGAGTGCGTCTTTTGGGCACTATGGAATACAGTATGTATCATGCTCATCAGACACAGTCTGCAACTAACAAACCTCAAGCATGTACCTGCCTGGTTGAGGTCGCATCTGTACTTGTCTGCGAAGACACTCGCGTACAGTCGAATAGGCAGACCAATGACATAACGGAAGCATGCAACGAAAACATTTTGGTGCTGATCACTTAGGACAACTGTATTCTATGCCCCCCGGCAGTTACATCTTCGGCAGTATTGGGGAATTATCTCCCCATACCAGGAGACATGATCGGTATGTCAACCAAATATCCCAGAAATCCCGTTAAATTGTTCTAACAGACATATAGCGTAGCAAATGATTGGATAGGTGTTGGACTTTGCGTTTTAAAGACTTGTCTAGCTGCATTCAGTATATCATATAGGGAATAGATGTACTTGCCTTAGTAATGAGACTCAGTACCCCGAATATCCCTGGAAGAGATACAACTACCAAATTTTTTCTGTTAGGAACCCTTGATTGGGGCTAGTAGCCAATTGAGTACATCAATTGTACTGTGATCAATGCACAGCGACCCCCAAACATGAGCAGTAGGAGACCCTGGAACCTTAACCGGGGATGCACAGTCTCTAGCTGCCTTCTTTAGTAAGAAAGATTCCATTTAGAAGGATCCCAAACTGTGCGCACAGTCCATGCCAGCTGTTATGCACCCTGAAACAAGGGTGAAAGGCAACCATTGGCCAAGGAATGATTGCACAGTCAAAGCACAGCAACTCCAACTGTGCAACATGAGAAGCATCTTCCGAACAAGGAAATGCACAGTCAAACACAGCCGCGCAAAGTCGATGCACAGCTCAAGCACAGTCAATGGAAGGATTCTGGGGTTCGAATCATAGAGTACCTTCCTTTAGGCTGCGCACATGTATGTATTAGTAATCAGGGCTGCCCAAGGGTATATAAGGGCTGCCCAGCAGCACCCCAATGCCCCAGGTCCCTTAGAATCGAAGTGGTGATTTAAAACCATCCATCTACACACCTCCCTTGGCACTGTGATAGCAGGAGCGCCGCTCACTACTCACAGTGTTTATATTGCTCTAGGCATAAGATAAGACCTAGGGGATATAGAGTGCCATTGTAAGTGTTTCAGAGTACCTATCGTTTGTTTGCCTAGCATCCAGAAAGTGCAGTGTGCGCTTGTGCTAGAAGTACCGTTTAGTCTGTTCCAGCATCCAGATAGTGCAGCGTGCACTAGTGCTGAGGAAAGTATCCGCGTTTATGTACAGGAAGTACCAGAAAATTGAAATAGTTAGCATCCAGATAGCGCTGCGAGCGCTAGTGCTAAGTTTACGTATATAGTCACATCCAAGTAACGTCCGCATCACAACCCTTGCCAGGTGGTATATTCATCTGTTCTCATATCAATACTGATTGTAAGCCCAGATCATAGCTATAGATGTGACTGATAGCATATAGGTACACAATCCTATAGCAAATTCACTCAAACGACAGGTTATCTCACTGGGAAAGCAGGAAAACCCGTGAAGCCTGACCTCTGTGTTTATTGGGGTTGATTCCTCGATAAGCGCGGTAAAGAACGACAATGGGAGTGCTTGAACACCAGCAGGTACATATACAAGATGACAAGGCACCCATTGGGTCTATCAAGGGTGAGTACTGCTTTGTTCACCTCTCAGCTCTCCCTTCTGAAACTCAGCAGTTGTGCTTACCAAGAACGAGTTCATGGTCTTGTGTTTCGCTCATCTGACAAGTATCACTATTTCAAGTGAGGACGTATTGTTGCTCTTGCAATCCGCGTGTATATGTACAATGTATTGTATCTGATTTCATCATTGGTAGTGGAATCTTTGACCAGTGCAAGTGTTGAATTCTGGCTCTCTATTCTGATTTCTTTTGTTTCATGTTCGTGATTCGCTGTCTCCTGCTTCTCTGACGGACTCCTACTAAACACCATCATACTTGCTGTCCTCCAAAACTCCCTACACTATTTTTCCCGGATTTATGCACTTACTCTACGGCTCCCGACTCCCTCCTGCCTCATTGAGACTGATTAGATCACTGTTCCCATCTCGGCTCTTTCCGGTCTGGTTCCCCTCACTCTGGCTCGGTTATTCCAGTTCCTCACGTGCTACTGTATAGTTTCACACACCTCACATGCCTGCAACGCGCCTGCACACACAGAGCAAGCTCCCTTCTCTCCTTTTCCCCACTTGCTTATTCTCTGTATGCTGCAGAGTGTTGCACTTCGTTTTTAGGCTGCGCATTCAACACGTCCGTCACCTTCAATTTGGGGCCTGTCTCAATAATGTTTGGCCACAGGATGGGACGAACTACGCCGGGATACCTTGCTCAGAAACATTACTTGGCTCCTTTAAGGCCAGCGAGGGCGGGCATTTCATACTCTTTGACGTCAGGGTGTACTTCCAGTTCACTGCTGGCTTTACGGACTTCCTTTTGTTAGTAGAACTTCGGCATAGCAGAATCTCTTGAGTGTCACCAGATGAGTGACAGTATAGCATTATGCAGGACTGCTAGAGGTTGTTGATCTGCTGAGTTGCTTGGAGGTTCCACCCTTTTGGACCGTTGTCAAGTTCAGAGAAGAACACCATAGACCTCGAGGCCAGTGAGGGCTGGGTGTCCCAGTACTGTAGATTCTCAACTGCATAGGACAGGGAGAGACTGAGGCTTTGGGAGCTGAGTAGGTAGTCATCGGGGCTTCAGATGTCTTGGTAGCATATGTACTTATTCAATTGTTGTATTTTTTTTGCAACTCCTCCAGCTAATTGGCTCCTGCCGAGCTCTAAAATCTAGGAGGCCAGGGCCTGTAAGGTACATCGGAAACTATCACATGATATATCATAGTGGCAGATTCTTAAAGGTCTGCCTTATGGCCCCACTCTGCCTCAACTGCTTTGGACGCCACTCTTTATCTCTCACATATCATTTATGGCCGCTGATGGCAAGCCGTGGCAGAAGCCCCAGTCTGACTGGATTTTCCAAAAGGCAAAAGATATGGAAAGAAGCTTGATGTCACTGCATGAAAGGTACAGTATAGTTCAGGGGCATGGTACAAAGAGGGAAAGAGTTTGACCTGTAAGCTTTACCTCTCTTCTAGCCTTGACAATTACTCATACTGTTTTAGCTTGCCACACTACATCGACACTAGCATCATTAGCTAAACATTCATGTTATTGACTTCATGTGGTGATACCAATTGGAATGCAACACTCTCGAACGGATATGATAAAGTGAAGGCTGGTAAGTTCAGTCACTTCTTGTCATATCTTGTATCATTAGCTTACTCGCTATGCAAATTATGCTAGCAACTGTATCAAGGAGAATCCGGGCAAGTATACAGAGTGGCGTCCACGGGCTATGGTCTCTATGCGCAATCTCTATGCGGGCATAATGCCTGAGGAGTGCAAAGTGCAACTCACCAAGTTTACTGCCTGCGGTACACTGTAGAACAAGGCTGTGCTTGATATAAGGAAGCCTGGCAGCAGCTTCTCATGTTTGGTTGCTACTGGGAACCACATTATGAAGCTTATAAGTGCCTTCATGTGTTTGTCACTCACAGTATTGACCTACTTTATAGATCAAAGATCTGAAGACCGCCACAGCACATAGTTTAGCATGGTGCCCCCGAGGACCTCGAGGAACAAGCTGTCAAATAAGGTCGAGAGACTTGGGGAAATGGCCATAACTAGTTTTCTGCCCTACATGAGTACTGTGGCTCTCGGGGCTCCAGGGATGTTAATATGGGTACTGGTAGCCAGGGTAGCCGGAGATGGGACTGGGTCCTCAGGGATGTGCAGATATACTGTACTGGTGGCCAGGGCAGCCGGGGATGGGACTAGATCCCCAAGGATGTGTAAATATACTGTATTGGCAGCCAGGGCAGCCGGAGATGGTCTGGATCCCCGGAAATGTGTAGATATGCTGTACTGGTGGCCAGGGGTGCCGGAGATGGGAATGGGTCCTCAGGTCTAGGATATTATATAGTACTGGTGATACCCATACATCTTTGTAGCTATGTTCTTGCCATTCTGTATATTCCATATCCCTTCAACTATCCTTACAGACCTGTCACGTATGGCTATACTTTACGTGCCGTGAATATATAGTCATACTACTATATATCAGATCAGTAGTTTCATACCGTGTAATAAAGCCCATAAATACTAGCATTTCATCCCTCGTGTTGGCTTTGTATTATCATCTGATAGAGGAGCTCATATCAAGCTAGCCTGACATTGTGATAACTAAAACATGGGTCATCCTGTATACTATGTAATATATACTGATTGCTGGTATAGGCAAACCAAAGATAGTATCTGTCTCACATACAAGTCCATATATAGTGCAACACAACACATGTACCTGAAATAATGGCCATCCTATATCAGAAGTTATCTAATATCATTATACATTGTTATATCCCAGGAGCACAGTACTACTGTCCAGGGGTCTAGCTCTATCTTCCGCTGCCCTGGCCACTAGTACTATATAATATTCTAGACCGGTGGACCCAGACCCATTTCTGGTGGCCCTGGTCACTAGTATAGTATATCGACACATCTCCGAGGATCCAGTCACATTCCCGGCTGCCCTGGCAACCAGTACAGTATATCTGCACATCTCCGAGAGCACAGTACCACCTCCGGCTGCCCTGGCAACCAGTACAGTATATCTGCACATCCCCAGGAATCCAGACCATCTCCGGCTACCCTGGCTGCCTGTACAGTATATTTACACATCCTCAGGGATTCAGTCCCATCCCCGGCTGCCCTGGCTACCAGTACAGTATATCATTCTATCTTCAAGAGCACGGTATCATCCCTGTCTGCCTTGGCCTCTATTACCATCCATTGATTTATCCCCAATCTACAGTGCCATCCCAGACTCTTCTAGCTACCCATACTATATGTCAATTCATCTCCAGACCTACAGTGCTATTACTAGCTGCCCTGGTCACCAGTTGCATATGTCAGTCTATTCCCAACCCAGTACTTCCTGCAGCCCTGAGAGCTGTGGTATACAGGTTGAGCCACAGTATAC